GTATATCTAGTTTATACTAGCTTACTGGTATGGCCCTACCATTTGTGGGCAGTCATCTGAACCTAATGCACAGTCTGTAGTGGGTCATACATAAAGTTTATGTAACATAAACCATCATATGTGTCTCATCCATGACCAGCAAGTGTGGGTCCTGGCAGGTGAGTACCCCTCAAGATGAAGGGCTCACAGAGCTGGGTAGATGTACTCACCTGCTAGAGTCTACAGCGCAATGAGGAAATAAGTCAGAGATTATGTACAGCTCATGGCGGACTCCACCATAGGGGTGGTGACAGAAGCCCATCCCATTAGGCAGTGGAATTAGACACTGTTTTCTAGCATAGTAGGAAGTGTAGCATTCTGAAGATGGAGGATCAATAATACACAAGAACAGTTAATGGGGGAAAGGGTAGAGGCAAGTGACTATGTTGCTCTGTTAGGCTTTGGTTACAGGACGGCGTCAGAAACAGTGTGACAAAATAGCCATTATGCTCTAGGCTTCTCTTGGCCTTTATGAGTAAGCCTTGTTTGCTGTTGATCCCTAATAGGGACACTGAATCCTTCTGTCCTCTGTCAATCAACTGGTGTGCTATCTACTCCATAAATACTGACCAAGCACCTCAAATATGCTGGGTACTTGAGGAATCAGTCATCATCCTTGGACCTTGTCATATCAAATGTGGGTTAGACCAGCTCTCTAAATCATGCTGGGCTCATGATTGAAATCAGTGTGGAATCCTGAAAAGGGCAAAGGCATGCGTGCCAGGAACACCAGTGTTTGGATTTTGACCTGGGTCCTGCTCACTGGGTTGGCTCAATGTTCTTTCTTTTCTTTGGCTAACGGTCACCTGCCTTTAGGGGACCACCTCTTTCCTGTTGCATGCTGTCTGTCTGAAGGATTGGGCTGGTTCCAGGCATAGCCTACCCTACTAGCTTTTACCCTGGCCATGGCATTTAGGAACGTGACCTAATGTAGGAGAAGCAGAACTTTAAATCTCCTTGAGACAGACAGATACTATCTCTTCTTTGAGATGATGCAAGTCTAGAAGTCTCTGTATCCGTGACCCATCCTCTCTTTACAGGAATGCAGTATTCTGCAATGGAGAGATTATGGGGAAGGCCAGAGATAGATAAACACAGAGGAGAGAGCAGAGGAGAGGAGGAGGGGGAGGGGGAGGGCAGAAGGAAGGGCATGAGAGGAAAGAGAAAGGAAGGAAGGGAGAGAGGGGGAGGAAAAAGGAAGGGGTAGGGATGGGAGAGAGAGAGAGAGAGAGAGAGAGAGAGAGAGAGAGAGAGAGAGAGAGAGAGAGAGAGAGAGAGAGAAGATGACATCATCAGAATTGGTGGACATCCAAGATAGCTTCACCCTGAACTCCTGCCAAGTGACGGGAGCCCATAAATTCCCTTTGCCTTGAGCTGGAGATCTGACCTCTTTCAGTAGGTGGGCTGGGTAGGAGCATCTCTGGAGTAAGAATTAAGTGCATTTCTGCAGACAGTGAGAGAGAAAAGCAAAAAGGCTTCTGAGCAGGAATGCTGTCTATGTCTGTAATTACGGTGGCTTTTCCTGATTCCCATCTCCATTGTCTCTGTGCTAAGAAACATTTAGAAGGGGACTGAATGTGGATCTAGCCACATTTCCCTGTGTCAATCTGAAGTGTGTTTCAAGGTGGTCCTTTCTCCTCTGGAGTCTGTGAGTCCTCCCAGGGGGCTTGTTACTCCCACGTTTTCTCTCTAGCCACTAGTCATAGCATTCACGTTTTTATCTTTGTAGTGTTTTCGGGCTTCATGAGTCATCTCATCTGCATGATCACCCTTGGTTCCCAGGGCATCTGAGGTGACGCCGGGGCTAGGATGGTCATATGGCTAGATGGAGGTTCAGAAGGGTCTTGGCCTTTGGGCAGGAGCTGAGTGATAGTCTTGCAGCAGGGTGGGGACAGAAGATGGAAGGCACACTGATGTTGGAGATAGATAGCCCCACACTGAGTGCTCTCACTTTCATGTTCTGTCTGTCTCCTTTCAATCACCCCAAGTCTCAATTCCCCAGTTTGCCAAATGGAGGACTGGAGATCTGTTCCTTCTAGGATTTTTGTGAATACCTAGGTAGTGATAGAAAATAATGGACTCTGTAAATTGTCAGATGATGTCCCCAGTCTGGAATTGATTTTGGTTGAATGTTGGGCAGAATCGTGCTGTGTCCAGCTCATACTTATTCTAGACATATCTAGTACATTGGTTTTTTTGAAGTCAGCAAGAATATGGATATCAAGAAATTGACAAATACAGAAGCCAGGCATTTGATTTTTCCCTGGGGAGTCAATTGTTGCTAACCAACACACCCAGGATGGTGGGGGGATAGAAAGAAAGACAAAGCAAAGGCTAGTAATGTTTAAGGTGCCCTGTATATTGACATTCTCACAGCATCGTCTCTAGTTCCCAGACTTGGGAGCAGATGCTGGCTATTTTATAGATGGGGATATTAAAACTTAGAGGGAATTTAATTTGTCAAGGACACAGAGTCGATGTAAGAGCAGAGATATGATGTCCCTTATTCCTGTAGAGTATCCCAGATAATCCAAAGATGCATCCATGCATCCCTTAGCATCAAGGATTTTTGTTTTGTTTCATTTTGTGGTATTAGAAATGGGATCTAGGACCTTACACATGACACACACACACACACACACACACACACACACACACACACACACACACACATACACACACACTCTACTACTGAGATACATTCTCATCCAATCTTTCAGCCTTTTAAAAAAATTGAAGTAGAGCCTCACTGTGTACTGGGATAGTCTTTGAATTTATCAGCCACTTGCCGCAGTCTCTTGTGTAGTTGGGATTACAGCTCCAAGCCCCCACAGCCAGCAGGATCAATCCTTCTGATTTTCAACACTGCTATGGTAAGGTATAAGTCAGTTTCTAAGACCCTGTAGCCTTTAAGATCTCTTTCGAATTTCAACAGTTCAAGTTTGGGGCTTGGAGAAAGTTGAAGAGAAGTGTAAGGCATTAAGCTGGGTACAAGGGAAGGAATAGGCCATTTTAGAAATCCTAAGTTCTGGACCTTGATTGCAGAAACTCCTCTGGGTTCCAGAAGTCAGACAACACCGTTAGGGTCACAGACATCAAAAGCATACAGACCTGAGAGGAAGGGAATCGGGTCCCAGCTCTGCTACTTCTCCTGACTGGCGTGTGCTCCTTTATCTGTCACAGGTCACAGTATCTAATTACGTGTGTTTTACCTCCTGGAGCTTTGGTGGCATGGTACAGAGGATCTTGCGGCTTTTGGAAGCTGCTGTGGCCACACATGTAAGGGACTGATCATGTTTCTCAGCTAAGATAACCTTTTCCGTTGCTAAGAGAGAACAGCTTACCTGTTTTCCTCTTCTGCCATCTCTGGCTTTAAGAATCCCCCAACTCCCAGCACCTTTTCCTTTCTATTTTTATAGCTTGAGAGCTTCATATGATGATGTCCTGTATGCTTCAAGCTAGATGAGTGTTCCAGAAAGGAAAACATCAAAAGGATCTAAACAAAATGAAAATCTGTTTTCTGCTTGAGAAGATGGCAGATGGGTTCGAGGACCAGCATTGTGAATGCAAGCATTCCCACACATCTGAGAGAGACATCTGGAACAGGACAATTCCAGGAGAGGCTGTCTCTAGATGGGGATAGAGGGCCTGTGAGGTGCTCAGGAGGCTCCTGGGGACCCAAAATAAGGAGATCGTAAAGATGGAATTAACAGTCATTTAGTCCCTTGGGTGTGCCTTCCTTGTATCATTTCACCATCACAACAAGTTTAGGAGAATATTTTATTACACCTTCTGGTTGAGGAAGAAGATACTCAGAGAGTGGGTTGGGATGACTCATGTTGAGGCTCCCTGAATGTCTCACCAGTGGTCCTTTCTCCCCGTTGCTTGTTGGATGGAGGGAAGTTGCTGTGGTTATGGAAGCCAGGGGATGGAGAGGAACTTTTATCCAACACTGCAGGAGCCTCTTAGGGATTGCTCTTCCAAGGGCTTCTGCCCAAGCCCCCTCCAGTTCACTTTCTGCATCGCAGCCAGAGTGAACTACAAATAAAACCCACAGGAAGCACCACAACACTTACATCCCCAATCCCAGGGTAGACTCTAACTACCTACTGACCTCCGTGGAGGTCAGCCTCCCTATCAGGTGGAACTTCCCACTTCGTATCATGCCACTAGGTCATTACTCTTGCTGTGTCTAGCTGCAGGTGTACCCTCCTTCACCTTAGACGTATTCAACTCATTCCTGCACCAGGGCACTTGCATCTGCTGTTTCCTCCACCCTGGAGATGAAGTCCTGATCCCACAGGACTTGAGTTCATTGTTACAATCGAAGCAGGTCCCTGCCCCAGTGTTCCAGTTTCTGTTGTTATTGTGATAAAACACTGACCCAAAACAACTTGGAGGTGTTATTTCATCTTATAGGTCACAGTCTGTCATGAAGTCCGAGCAGAACCTGGAGGTGGGAGTGGAGACATCGACTGTAGAGGAACTCTGCTTACTGGCTTGCTCTCCATGGCTTGCTCGGCTTTCTTCTGATAAAACCCAAGACCACTTGCCCAAAAGTAGCACCCCTCACAGAAGACTGGGTGCTCTCACACTAACCATCAATCAAGAATATGCCCCACAGATGTGCCTGCAGGCCAGTATGATGAAGGCATTTCCTCAGGTAAGGGTCTTTCTTCCCAGGTGAGTCACGCTTGTGTCAAGTTGACAAAATCTAAGTAGCAGTGATCATTTCATATTGCAGGCCACCACCTATTTTAATTTGGCTGATTATTACTACTAAACAATTTCTTCCTGATTTACCTATTTTCTGTGTCTTCACAGAAATCCAAAGCAAGCTCTACTGTACTCTATAAAATGCACGTTGGCATAAAACAGAGGTAAGCTCATGGCAAATATTTTTTGAGTAAATTGTTGCTGACTTTTTTTTTTTTTTTTTTTAGGAAGGGCAGACTTTCATTGGAAGAAGGAAGAAAAAGCTTTTTTTGGGGAGCTCCACTCTGCTTATTTTATTCTCACCACAACCTTACAGGAAAACTCATCTGATTCCCATTTTATAGATGAAGCAACAGGGACTCAATCATTTGGCAATGTGCTGAGGTCTCACAGCTGCAAGTGGACCCCGTGGCTGCCTGTCCCAGTGCCCACAAGCCTGTTTCCAAGGCGTGCAGCAACCTTGTGCAATCAGGAGGGTGCCTCTGCAGCAGTAAGATTTTGGGCGAAGACACTCCCTCGGAAGACTCAAACAGGCAGTTGGGAATGAGTTTCCATAACATAAATCACTGTTGCTTGTCCTAAAGCCCAGACCTTCTGGGGAGCAGACACAGACCGCCTAAGCAGAGGGCTGCGGAGAGACCAGTGATGGTTATAGGAGGTGCTGTTGTTGTCTAGAAGGGAGTCTGCGAGTGGCGAGTGGATACTGAGGTCCTGTCCCCCTAACAGAGTCCATACTGTGGCCAGGTCCAGACAAAACACTGTTTCTGGCGCCCGCTCCTGCGTTAGGGGCCGAAATGCTGAAGGGCTCTCCTATTCGGGGGAATTCGGTAGTGATGTATAAGGTATGAAAGATGTAGCCTGCAGAGAGCCGGCACTATCTCTACTGCTGCTGCTGCTGCTGCTGCTGCCACCGCTGCTGCCGCCGCCGCCGCCGCCGCCGCCGCCACTACTGCTGCCAGCAGAGCTGCTGGGAGTGAGCCTCCCTTCTCCCAGATACCCAGCTCCGTGGCATCTCCCGTTCCTTGGCCCCGCACGGACCTCCCCGCCCCAGGGAACAAAAGCAGAGTCGGGTCGCCCTGTTCTGCAGTCAGAGGATGAAGAGTCGAGAGGGCTGAGCGGAGAGTGTGGTCCTCGGCGGCTGGAAGGTAGGAGAAGGTGTTGCGCCCAGCGGCCGCGGCGTGGGAGGCTGGAGTGGGCGCGCCAGGGGAAGGGTGACTGCAGGCGTCCAGCCGTCGGGTGGGTGCCGTAGGGACCCTGCAGGGTGGTGGTCTGCAGCGCCGCGGCCGTGATGCCCACTGCGGGCCGGGAGGCGCGTTCCCGCAGCCACGAGGGAGCTCCTGCGTGGGGACTGGAGGCGGAGGAAAACTCTGATGCCCAAAGCCGAGCGGCGGTGGCTGCGGAAGGGCTGCGCATAGCACTTGGACTTGGTGGTGCGTTCCGCCGCGCAAAGCGGCCCAGGCGGCGGCCGCAGTGTGCGCAAAGTTTTGGGGTAGCGCGCAAAGGCGCAGACAAGGGCCGCAGAGAGGTGCAAGTTGTGGACAGAAAGCCAAGGCGACCCTCAGGACCCCCAGGGGGGATTTGCCTGAGAAGGGAACAAGTGGATTCTGCTCCCCTCCAGCACAGACGAGACAGGGTTGACGCGCAGTTATTTAACCCTTCGGTCCCCGGGGAAAACAACTTCATTCGTGTTGGAGCCTGCCGGACTCAGGCAGCTTAGAGGCTCCTGGCTTGATTCTCCTGTGGTCGTGCGCATTTCCCTGCTCCTGTCGTGGTGTTCTCTTTTCATTTCTGGCCACTTCGGTTTAGCTGGCCTGGGGTCTTTCCCTAGGTCTGTATATTTTACCCCGTGGACCATTGCATACATGTTTTTCCATCTCCTCGCTAGCCTGACTCTTGGATGCTGCTTTGAAAAATGAGATGATTAATCAATTAGGTTAGTGGCCAATTAGGCATAACCTTGTAGGAAAATAATTATGCCGGGCTCTCTGGGCTTCCACCGGTGATGAGGCGGGAATCGAGCCCAGGTGCAGGAGCTGTTCCCAAAAGATAGGACTGATGGGGAATGGGGGTGGGGGATTCTGGAATTTAAGATGAAGAAGATTCAAATGTGTGATGGTGACCGAGATGGTGGGGGGTTCGACGAAGTAGGGGTGTATGTGTGTTTCAGTTTTTGCTGAGGAAATTAACCCTTGACAGCACAGTCTGGGTGGACTTTGCAGGCAGCATGGTGTATCCAACCGCTTGGAGGAAAGGTGTGTCTCCTTGCATGCCTGACCGCTCCCTCCACTCGCCACCACACACACACACACACACACACACACACACACACACACACACACACGTACAAACCTCCAAGGAGCTCCCTCTGTGAATCGCAGCTCCTCACAGTGGCGTTGCTACGCTTTGGGAGGCTGAGTTTAGGGGATTGCATCTTAGTTTCATGTAGGAAGAATCGTGTCGTTGTTGCAGATGGAGCTTTCTGTACACTCCCTAGCAGAACACACATCTCCCCCGATTGTGCTAAATAAAGCCATTATTAAATGGGTGCAAAAGGGAGGCAATCTGTTTCCAGGGCTGGGAAGTTCTGTTGCATAGCAAGGCTCCTTTTTTTTTTTCTTTTCGTTTTTGGAACCACTGGTGGGGTTTGGCACTGCAGTATTACAATACAGCCATATTAAAAAGGTCTTCAGAGCTTCGAGCCCTCCACCGCTGCAGCCTTCTTTTGGACACACTTCCCCATCACATCTCCTTTGCAGCGTGCATGCAGTGGATTCCAAACGCACTGGGTGCCCTTTTAACTCCTTTTTGTGTCAAGCTTAAGCTGCTTCGATCCGTTTAGACACCTGCATATAAGGTAGTAGAATCCTATTCCAAAGGCAAAAACCTGGAGGTGTTTCCTAGGGCAGACAAGATTTTTGCAACAGGTCCTGTGTTTGAGATTTCCAGGGATAGGATCCCTTTGGCTTTGGTCGTAGGGCCCCATCTCTACCGGTGATCTGATCAGGGCTGGACACAGTGGTCTCTGCAATGCCGGCAGCGCTGACAGGGGCTGGTTCCGAATTTTATGGCTTTTCCCCCCTTTGCTATACTGGGTGGGAGGAATGGCTGGGCAGTGCAATGTGATGGTAGGGACAGCTCCTTCTCAGTGCAGAGGGAGGGGGCTGGCTGGGACTACTTAGCAAATGGGAACTGCCCAGCTGGAAGAGTACTCAGTGATACTGGTGTCCAGGGGCCAGCTGTGGACCATAGGCTACTCTTATTTTTTTTTTTTTCAAAAATGAGTGGCCACCCTACAGTGTTTGCCGTTTGCTAAGATTTTTTTCCCCCCTAGAAGCTGGACTCAGCCAGTTGCTTTGCAGTGACTATATTGGTTGTAGATTCTGGTGCTAGCCAAGACCTTGCTCTTTTTCTAAAATAGACTATTTTTTTTCTCTTATAGTAGGAAGAGATATGGGAGAAGAGTGATGAGCGAGGAAAAGAAAGACAAAAAGGGGTGGTGGTGGGGTGGGATTGGTGAGAAATGAAGAGACAGAGAAAGCTCAAGAGGAAAGAGAGATAGGGAGGAGAGATGGGATGCAGAGGAGATTCAAGGGACAGGGACCGAAAAGAGTAACATTAGCACCAAAGGAAAGAAGAGTGCTCATGGGAAGCAAGTCTTGTCCTGTCATCTGGCTTAGAAAAATAAGAAGTAAGAGAAGACCTTAAGCTCTACAAGAGTTGTTCCAGAGAGGCTTGCTGCTTGAAACACACTGTGGATACTCTCAGACAGTTACGAAACAAGTGTTGAATCACAGAAAGCTTGTGACCCTATCTCTCATCCTCTCATCCTTGCCTGGGGTTTCCCATTGGTACAGTGGGGGCTGGGATTGCTGTGTTTGCGGGGTAGTGTGGCTGTGCCCAGTGGAGAGCTTGTTTTCAATTGGATCAAGTGAGGCTGAGCATCTAATGATTTGAAGGAGGTGTCTCTTTGTTTGGAGATCTTTCTTCCGTGGAATGGACAACTTTTTAAAAAAGTGTATGATTTATTTAACCTCAGGGAAGTAAAGTGAAGGATAGTGAGGTAATGGGAAAATAAGTCAGTCATTTCTCTTCTCCAGCCCCCTAATGCCCACACGCAGGCATCATTTGGGCCTCCCAGCTCATCTTCTGTCCTCTGGAACAGGCCCATCTGCAGCCAATATGATCTTTCTAAAAGATGCCTTTGATCACATTTCTTCCCAGATCAAAACCATAAAGGGCACCCTACTGCCTAGAGCATATTATTCAAATTCCTGACCACAGACATCAAGGGCTTTCACTGGCTGGCTTTCTCCCCACCTCCCAGTGTTTCACACATGTACTTCAATACATACACCCTCACGACTTGCACTCAGTACCACACACCCTCGTACCAGTGCACACAGAATCACGCACAATCACACATATACATGTGTATAGTAATGCTTGTATAAGCACACATCCTGGCATACATCCCAACATACATACACAGTCACACATGCTGTCACACACATATGCACATACTGCCTTCATCCCACATATGCACACCCAAGGTATACTTACAGCACCACACACTTTTGTATATATACATAATCTTGCTCACAAATATACAGAGTATATTATTCACACATGTAATGTATGCTTATAAATATATAAGCACAAGCACACACAAAAGCACAGTGTCACAAACTTCCACATACATACACAAAATCTAATTATACCCATACATCAAATCACATGTACACAGCACCATTCCCCATTTACTCCTCATAGCCATACCAACACAGACTTGTATGCATACACAAGTACACATGGGCACAGTTGTATTGCATCCCTCACATACTGCTGCATGTCACACTTGTGTACCTGTCTACATATGCATTCATATCCTATCTGCACTCCACATGTACCTGGTACCTTTGCGGCATTACCCATTGGAAACCAGAGTGGTGTTCTTCAGTCTAGTGAGCTGAACCCATCCCTCAAGATCCATCTTAGAAGGAACATCACACAAAGACCCTTTTCTTGTGTGAGGCTTCTGTTCCCTCTGTTCTTGCCACATGTGTCTTTTGAAGTGGGTGTCAGGAGTTTCCAGGGTCTATATCTTCCAACAGACTGTACATTCCTTCAAAGCAAGGGACAGTTCATTTTCCTCATTCATCCCAGGGCACACCACAACAATTCACACAGACATATGATTATAGTTTAAAGACCACTTCATTTAGGAGTTTCTAAAGGATGGCCAGTGCCCTTGACATTATCCCATTGTTCCTTATTTTCTCTGCTCTTTCTCCCTTTCCCTCTCCTCCTCTCTGCCCCCTGCCCCATAAAGACTATTTCTTTGTAGCCTTCTTGCTATTCTAGAACTCATTACATAGCCTAAGCTGGCCTTAAACTAACAGCATTCCTCCTACTTCTGCCTCCTGAGTGTTAGGTTTATGGGTATGAGCCCTCACACCCAGTTCTTATTTTCTCTTACTCTAATATCTTTATTTACAAAGTTATAATTTTTCAAAAATTCAAATGATACTCTACCATTTAAGATACATGTAACGATTCCCCCCTCCCCCTTGACCGGTTAAATGACCTACCCTTTATGTTGAACACACATTACTAAACATTTATGCTGCTCCTTGAACTTTATGCCATATTTTCCTAACTAGATTATATCTGGGGACCATGGAGTACAGACAGGCATACACATGCTCCTTCAGGCAGAAGATGCATGTGTAGGTGGTGCCTAGCAACTGTTGTGAGACATGAGCACTACAAGCCACTGGGATCATTTTAAACAATGAGACAAAAATATGAATTGAGTTTATTTTAACAATTACATTAAACACCCCACTAAGTGTGCCATCACCCTATGTGATAGTATCACAATCCTTACTTTTACAGAAGAAGAGTGCTAAGCTTTAAGAGGTGACATCAATTGGCCAAGTCAGAAAATGAAAGGACAGTAGAGTCTGAGTTGCAGCTCAGATCTTCCTTTTATTGTTTCCATTCTTATTATTTTGCTTCCTGTAGATCTGAGGGCATCCGACACAAGCACTATAGTTTCATGCATCCATTATCTGCTCAGAGCATGCATGCAAGTTTATGGGGTCTCCTAGCCCATGTCTTCAGTTACCTTTCCAGTGAGTTGGTG